AATTACAAGAAAAGAGATTGCTAAAAGAAAATATCTTTTACTTTAAGCTGAAAGAAGCTTGAAGTAAGAATGAGGGAAGAGAGTGATGCGCGCACTCTGCATGGAGAAGAAACACTTCTATTTCTACCCAGTGCATTAAATGTCCATTTAATGCAGTATGGTAGGGTTTAGAGTGCGTGTCAAGCCTTAACAGGAAGGCTTGTCCTTTGTTACAGTGAATAGTACAAAAGCACTATTCTTGAACAGACATCCTTACCTAAAGTTGGTGGACAAAGAGTCGACTAATCGGCTCCGTACCGTACTATCTTTAGTAAGGGTATGGGTTCGTCCTTTTGTGTGTGCAAGGACAAAACAACAACAATCGTGCTAAGCAAACTTTCTTTGATCGCTGAATGTTGGAATGACCTGAAGGTCTCATCATCATTCGCTGAAGCTAGAGCAGTCTTCACACATAGTTAGACAGGCTTGTAATCACTGAATACCGCTTCAGATCACATACGCGCCAGAGTCTAATCTTCAGTTTCAGTCTTCGACGTTTGCTGAAGGATCTTTGGTGTGAGTGTTGTTTTCTTGAAGTATTGTTGTCTCTGAATGATTTACAAAGTGAGTTCTTCAGCGATCACTGAACATACTCAGTGTATTGATCGCTGGAACTGAAAATACAGAAACTAAAATACATCAAAAGGAAAAAGGAATTATCATCAAATCACTGAGAGAGAGGATCAACAATATTAATGAAGAATTCCAGGGTGATCATCAGACTCTGCCTGAACCCTCCACTACAGTTGATCTTGGTACGTCTGATACTCCGAGAATGGCATTTGATCCAATTGAAATATTTACAAAAAACTATGTGCCGTTTGCAATTCACGCCAACGTTCCAGGTTATGATCGTGCAAGGATCAGAGAACCTTATCTGGAGGACATTTACTTTGGTATCTTCCTCCGACACCGCAAAGCTCTCAGTGCTGACAAGATTCTTAGGATTCATAAAGAAACCCGAGACTATCATTTAGAGTACAAGCACGTTCTCAAGGCAAAGCGTCTCCCAATCAGCCAAGTTCGGACCAAATATCGAGTCGTCTCAATCAAGAAAATTGATGCCCAAAAACTCCTTAGAGTTTGGTATCCGGTGTTCACTGTTACACGACAAGATGGGAAGGTCTGGGTATTTAGCAAAGCTGATTTCTCTAACCTTTATTTAGAAGACTTGGAGCACATGTACCATGAACTGCGGAACATGACGGTCAGAAGAGAAGGAGCACTTGTTGATCTTAGTGCTATCAAAAGATTTATGCGAAGTCATGTCAAAATATCAATGGTTCTTGATGTTCAAATGGGTCTTGAAGACAGTCAAAGAATTATTAACTTGAAGAGACCAGATCAAGAGCTAGAAGATATTGAAGGCTATCCTTTGTATATAATTCTTGAAGAATCGAAGTTCGGGGTGGTGTACAGTGCCGAAGGTCGGATAAAAAAGTTCATGAGATTCAGTGAGCTGAACAAATACTATGATGGCACTATACGGATGGTGAGACGGGCGTTTGAGACGAGAAAAGCTGATAATGATAGAGCTACGGAATCTGAGAGGATGAGTCCAAAGGAGAGGTATTTGCTGATCAATGCCTTGAACCTGCTTGATGATAAATTGCAGTATCAAAGTGCACTAAGGAGGCTAGAGACACTGCTTAGACTTAGAAAGACTAGATTTACAATGTCTCGACCTTGAATCCAAAGGGGGAGATTGTTGGATTCAAAGATGTGCTTAAATGTTGTATTCAAGTTCTCCCATTGTAATTGTTTTGTAATTGTTAGCCTTAGTAAATTCCTAGTATAAATAGTCTTTAGTTTACTAATTGTAATTAGTTCAGTTCATAATTTCTGATTAGTGCTGTTAATCATTTGTACTTTTCTATCAAGAAATACAATTTCAATATTGGTGAAAATCTCTCTCTACTCAATTGAAAGGAAGACCTGGTGAGATGAACTTCAAAAAGTCTCATATATGAAGTACATCCGTTGTATTTAATATATTTGTTATATTCACAGGCCAATCTTTATAAGATTGAAAACAATTTCATAAGTCGAAATTGGTTGTTATTTTCTCATTCCTTTAATCTGAAAATAATATACAAATGAATTTGCAAAGATCTACTTACAATTTTATGAATTGACGGCTCTCGCTGAAGATTTCATTCATTCTGATGTATGATGCTAATAATTCTCATTTCATCATAAGGGGGAGTATGAAATAATGAATGAAATGTTCAATTGATATGATATAAAAATCAAGGGGGAGTAACATCAAAGGTCGGCAAAAGACTCAAAGGAGTGTAACTGGAGATTATTACTGAAAATTATTTTTGTGCTACAATGTCTGAGAGTTTTTGAATGTGAAGATCATCCTTACAAAAATTTACTGATAGAGATTTCTCATCGTAGATAATGTTTAATTTTGAGGGAAAATGTTTGTTCGTTATCTGAAGAAATTCATTTTTGAGGAGAATGTTAAAATTTGTTTGTCTGAAGAAATTCTTTGAAGATCATATCTTGAAGATCATTTTTGAAATTTGTTGCTGATTTTGTTCTTCATTGTCAAATGAGAAGATCGTTTCTGTTCTACATTCAAGGGGAAAAATGTTAGAAGATTTTCTCAACATAAGATCGTCTGAAGATTTCAAAGTGAAGTTTATTTTGAAGTTTTTGAAGAAGTCATAAAGAGCTCAAAGTGACAGTTCAAACGAGATTCAAAGTGTGCAATTTCTTTCAAGCCTGAATACAAAGGGGGGGGGGGAATGTTGGGATTGAATTTCAGTGTTAAATTGTATTTGCCTTGAAAGTTTACTATTGTCTATAATTGTATTGATATCGTGTTGACTTTCCTTGTATTGTTGACTTTGACTAGAAGGGTTTTAGTTTGACCCTATGTATACATTTGTCTTTAGTGTAATTGTGAAGAGAGCTTTCATTGTAAACAATACGTACGTAATAGAGCTTTGACTTGTTGACTAATCCTCTCAACTCTCCTTTCAAGTGTTCTTGAAGATTATCTTAATCTGCCATGGATTGTATGAAGATTTATGAAGATTGATCATATTGTGGACTAACAGTTTTGTATGAATTAGATGCTATTATTGATAATTTTGTATCTGAAATACTCGAAGAAGTTGTTTTGTATGAATTATTTATTATTGTATGAAAGTTTTTTTTTTAATGATTAAAAACATTTATTTAAGATTTTTTTGTACATATTATAGAAGGCCCAAAATTTACAAATTGTCCAGGGCCCAAAAAATGTCAGAAACAGACCTACATGACATCTCATGACATATATGAAAAACAAAAAACTAACCAACAGACTTATAACAATTTTTGCAAAAAATATCTATATGAAAATTTCCAAAGTTCATTGCTGTTTTAATGCCTACTGCAAAGTGTATACATGTACAAAATAAAGAAGGGCAAATTTACCTAGCTCATAACTAACCGTGGTTAGGTTTATCTATTGGTATTGTTTTCTGCGTTTGAGGGAATAAGAGAACTCCAAAGTTAAATGCAAATTTCATCCGTCAACGACTACGGTCCCTACAACTACTTATTAATTTTTGTGAAGTATTTTTAGGGTCAATAGTCTTTAATTTGTGTAAATCACAAGGACGAAATTTGCATTTAACTCGAAATGCCAATAAAGCATAACCTTGTTATTGTTGCATAATATACAAATGATAAGCCACTCGTTATAGTTCACATTGATGGTAAAGTTTTCATTTTAGGATCACACTTGCTGTCGTTCCAAGTTCGATATTTATGGTGTACTTGCCTCCAATATTAGAAAACTGCAAAGCAACTCATTTTAAAAACAAATGGGATTCTACACAAGAAAATGTGTATATGATGTCCTCCTTTCTATATGTTTCTTCATTTTCTTGTACAATGAGCAACAATGGAATCAGACACTCCTGTTGCGTCCTGCACATCAATCTCTTTTTCCATGGAAACAGACTGTACATCTATAGAGGCAGATTCCTTTCCTGGGAATTCAAGGTCTGGTTCCAGTGGAATATCAGGAGGTGATCGAGGTGAAGGTAAACCAGTGACATTGCCATTCTGTGCAGGAATGGAATCAGAATGTTCATCAGTGGAAACAGAGTCCTTTGCTGCAACTTGAAGTTGAGGTTCATGGGAAATGTCTGTGGAAATGGTATCAGGAACTTGGGATTGAAGTGAATTGGCATCAGTAATCCTGATTGCCGTCTCATTGTCATTCTGCAAATCAATTGTTTCTACCATGGAACTGGAATCAGCACCAGCATTTCCTTCAGCAGTCTCATTCCCATCCTCCACATTTTTTAGAGCATTGGTATCGGATTGCCTATCATATTTCTTTCCAGATAACCGGATTTCAGGTTCAGAATGGTTTCCATCCTCCATGGCTGTATCTTTCAATTCTGATTTATTGCAATCTTCTACTTCAACACCTTTCTTGCCTACAGCACCCATAAAGAAACTTAAGTTTTTACTAAATTGGAAAGAGTAATATGGAGAAATTTAAAAAAACTGGCTGTCGAATGGTAAACCTTCGACTGAAGTTATATTTTGCTTCATTAGCGGCTTTTGTAACATATCTGTTCCAGGAAACACCAACATATTAACTGAAGACAATTCTTGTTTGCATGAATCTTCAAGTCGGTTGAAGCCAAAAGCATTAGTCCATGTATGCAAATGTTCTTCGATAGCGGGAATAACCAACTTCTCAACTTTGATGGAGGAGAGGGCCTGAAAAGGGAAGCATTACAAAGTAATTCACCCAAACCAAACCCAACCAAATCAAATGACTCCAGTTTATCCCACCCGGATGTGGGGTCTGGGGTGGGTTAGATGTATGCAGACCTGACCACTACCTCAAATAGTAGAGTGGTTGTTTCCATGAAGACCCCCAGCTTGTGAAAAGTGTGTGAGAGGGAGAAAAGCAGGTATGCTTAAATTTAGAGAAGATCGATACAAGCAAAAGCAATGAGACACTTTTCATACGCCAGGGGTCTTCACGAGAAAACTGTTCTACTCTTTGGGGTAAAGGTTAGGTCTGCCTACATCATACCCCAGGATGCCACCTCCAGTTAAGATATACTAGATTCGTTTAGTTTGGTAATGACACGTGACTGAGAAAATTTGTTTTGAAGATGCACAACACAAGCAATGCAATATACATAATCTCCTTACTGATTCAATAGCATGCAATAGGCGACGACACATCCCTTGGCGTCTATACATATCGCGGGTCCCAATAAATGGCATCTCAGCTAGTTGAGTTCCATGGATCCTAGGAATACGATTGAATATAAAGTCAGAAGTTCCAATAACAATAAACAGCATCCACTGCCCAAAAACACACACAGCCAACTTCTAGAACAATAATTGTAAACGTTTCCTACCTGATGGATGCAGCACAAATCATTTCATCACCCCTCTCCAAAATGGCTGTGAAGAAGCCACTGTAGTTTAACCGGCTAAAGTTTGATCTACAGAAAAATACCGAGATTTTGTCATGCAACACAAAAATACAATAGAAGCAGGTATCCGATGCACATCATGGAAAAGACCCCCATTGTATGTATTATGTAGTACGGTTATTTTGTAGGGTAAGTAGAAGAATGTAAATATCGGAGTGTACGGGCAGGTTCAAATGAGAAACATAAATACTTTGAGAACCACGGAACCACCTATTTCACGTAGTATTCATGATAAATGTCGTGACAGATATTCATGATTATTGAGGGATATGCATCATGAATACTACATGAAATAGGGTGGTTCCCCAATTTGCAAAATATTTATGGTTCTCATTTGAACTTGCCCTCAGAGTATATCCTACCCTCCCCAGAGTGAGTTTGGTTTGTTTTTAATTACCCAAAGCTACACCATACCAACAAAATTGACCAAAAAAAAAACATTTGACATACCCATGTTAAGGTGCCTTAATCTTGCACAATTTAACATATTTTCATGTACATAAATTAGAAAATGGAAGTGAAAAGTGAGATGAGAAAATTGGGGTTGGGGGGGGGAGGCAGGTGAACATATCTTGCTGACATACAGATATGTACAAATCTGTCATGTGTATATCAATGATAATAACCTCATTCCATATAACATTGCAACAATTCACCTTACACATTAAAACTAGTCAAATGTGTAAACTCCTTCCAACATGACCAAAATAGGAAGGTGCTCTAAATTAAATCTTAAATTTTCAGCTAGACCAAATACTGAGGACCAAATCAATGTCATGAATACTTCTGTAGTAATAACTATGTGGGCAAATAAGAAAAATTCGTTTAGAACTTTCCCGAAAGAATTGGATTGACATGGTCATCCCAGAAAAGAAACTTTCTACAATTTCAATGTGTACAACTTACCCACAATTATACACAACGTTATGAATTAGACTGATGCCACTTCTCCTGTCAACGATGGGCAGAAAACACTCATCCATGACCAACTGGGCAATAGCTAGCTTAGAATTGCATTCTGCTCTTTGAGAAAAATTTACAGATGACACATCTGGTAATGGATCGGATCGATGGATAAGCGACCAGGAGAATCCTGAATCCAGTTCATGCTTGATCCAAAGAAGCTTCTGCAAGCTGCAGTATAGCTGCAAAAGAAGGATGATCAAGTTGTTCAAGATTAGGACTTTTATTGTAACACTCAGAAAGGAACAAAAATATTACCTCCAAGTAAGAAAAGTTGATTGATGAACACAAGCAAAGTGAGATGATAAAACGACTCAAAAGAACTTTCATCTCAATGCCATAAGATTAGTCATCTCAAACGAAGGATGGAAAGTGGCCCAATTTGCATTTAGGCATATACTTGTACATCACTGTTCTAACTTCTAAATAGTGTTCAAAGTAATTAAGTTACTAAACATCCAGGTGTACAATAATTTGGGAGAACTTTTTTACTTGGGCTATCGACTTCTTAACCAGCCACTTGGTTTGATTATTTGATCAAAAATTAAACCAATTAATTTATGCCTCTCAAAATCCATTCTCGTCACTTCTTAGAAATGCTTAATGCAACCATTAGTTGCTAAAAGAAGCATTAACGAGATGCTTGAAGTGTAAGCCACCAATGGCATAAATCAACTTCGGAGGCTTCATATCCAAGCCCTGCATATCTCAGAGATAAATGTTCCAGCTTCGGAAGCAACACATACTTACGGATGCATATATGTAAACCATGACAACCATGCATGCAAAGTATTTGAGATTCTTGAGGATCTAAAGAGGTGGCCATGCTTGGTTATTTATCTAGGGAATTGTACAAAGCTACATATAGAAGGAGAACACATTGCTGGTTGTACCAAATTATTGATGGGAAACTACAGATCTGATATTTTTCCTCAATACTGACTGTTAAATAAGTCAAGAACTTGTATTCCTTATAATTTGATAATTTACGTACATGATTATCAACAGATTTTTAGAGTTACCAATGAGATGAATGCTGATAGAAATCGTACAGAATATATACATAAGGCTAAGCCTTAATATAAGGAAAATATCCTATAAAATCCCTGATTTTATGGGATTATACACAATCATGATTCTATGGGATTATATACGATCTCCTTTCTCTTAATTAAATACAAAATCATTAACATTTTCCTACATTCCCCCTCAAGCTGGTGAGTGGGAATTCCCCATTCTTAACCTGGATATCATCTTCTTAAACAATGTCTACTTATCCCCTTAGTGAAAATGTCCGCAAGTTGCTCATGAGTTGGCACAAATGGGGTACATATTAGGCCACTGTCTAGCTTCTCCTTGTCAACTTCGATATGTTTGGAGCCATCATGCTAAACAAGATTGTGAGCAATGTTTATTGTTGACTTATTGTCGCAATAGAGTTTCATTGGCCCTTCCCTGTTAATCTTCAAATCCTTTAGGATGATTTCAACCATAATAATTCACATATACTGTGTGCCATTGCTCGGAATTATGCTTCCTGCTAGACCGTGCTATGAAACTCTTTTTCTTGCTTCTCCACGTCACAAGGTTTCGTCCAAGGAAGGTGCAGTACGCTGTTGTTGATCTATTGTCAACCGGTGAAGCAACATAGCTTGCATCAATATAGGCTTCAAAGGTCACACTGTCGTTTCTTTCGAATAAGATTCCTTTCCCTGGTTCCTTTGAGGTACTGTAAAATTCGGTGTGAAGCTCGCAAGTGAGTCTCCTTAGGATTATGCATGAACTGACTAATCACGCTTACAACATACAGTATATCCAGGTATGAGACAAGTATATGAGTCTCCCTACAAGACCATGATACAATTCTTTGTTCACAATGGCATATTCTTCTGCATTTCCCGGTTTATGGTTCGGGTCTACAGGAGTACTTGTTGGTTTACATGCACCTTATCCTGTTTCTATAAGCAAACACGTAACATACTTCCGTCGAGATATAAAAATCCCCTTTCTAGAATGAGCAACTTCAATTCCAAGGACATACTTCAATCTTCCCAACGTCTTGATCTCAAAAATTTTGTCCACACACTGACTCAAGGGTTGTTGCTCCTTCTCATCATTACCGGTCACAATGATATCGGCCACATATACTGGTAGGAACCATCATTCCCCCGGAGTTTGAGTGCTTGATGAACAAATTGTGATCCCCTTGACTTTGATTGGCTACTATACTTTTGGAGAATCTCCCAAACCATGCCCGAGGAGATTGTTTCAAACCATACGATGCCTTCTTAATTTCCACACTGTATTGGACCCATCCTTTTTTCATAACCATTCCCTACTTCCATGTAAATCTCCTCTTCAAGTTCTCCATCCAGGAATGCATTCTTTACATCAAATTTATGTAATTCCCAACCAAGGTTAGCAGCTAGGGACAAAATTACTCTTAACGGTATTCATCTTTGCAACCGACACAAATGCCTCCAAGTAATCAATACCAAAAGTCTATGTATATCCCTTGGCTACCAACCTCGCTTTATACCTCTTGACCCATCAGCCCTATACTTCACGGTATAGACCCATTCCTTTTCCCTTGTGGCAATTTTACCTACCAAGTTTTGCTTTTCTCAAGCGCCTGCATTTCAAGATTCATGGATTGCTTCCATGTTCCATCAAATAATGCCTCGGATAGGGTAGTGAGGATGGTGATGGAGTTACGGTTAAAAAGGAAGACTTTGTAGGTAAGAGAGAATTTTCGAAAGGATAGGTAGTGTGATAAAGGGTATAATGGTCTTTTTGTGCATTCTTTCGTTCCCTTTCTGAAGGCAATCGGGATGTCTTGTCACAATCTAAGATTTAGCTTCCTTATGTAAGAGTGGGGGATCAAAAAATGATGCCTCATTTAAAGGATATGTGTTAGATTCTAGAACTTGCTCAGATTTAGGAATGTTCCTTTTTTGTCTTGAGTACACCAAGTTCTTTCAGAACCATATGCTTTCAGACTCTTGGATTTGTGTGTTAGGAGTAGGTTCAGGGACTGGTGGGAATGTTATTGGTTCTGGAACTTGTGAACCATGAATAGGATCATAATTGTGAGCAGGATCAAAAATATGGGTGACAGGTTATGGAGTAGGGCCATGAGTAGGATTAGGGACGGGTGTGGATTGAGACAAATCAAACAATTCAACAAGAATCTCCAAGCTTCCATACTATTCTCCCCCCGAAGATAAGATCGGGTCAAATACGCATCTTTTTCACTAAATGTCATATCTCTTGACACAAACAACTTCTTGGATGGAGGATGATAGCATTTATACCCATTTTGGGTTGAGGAATATCCCGTAAAGACACACCCAAAGATGTGAGGTACAAAGGTTGTTGGAGATGGACATGTTAGGGTAAAAGGAGGAAATCACCTCGATTGGGTTTTTGAATTCTAGAACTTGTATAGGGAGTCTATTGATCAGGTAAGTGGCTATGAGAATGGCTCCCCCCCCCCAAAAAAAAAAAAAAAACAAATGCCATTGCATGTTTATTTGAAATAATGACGCTCTAATTTGGTCTAATAGATGCCCATTTTTCCTTTCTGCAACCCCGCTTTCTTGAAGTGTTTTAATACATGAAGACTCATGGATTATTCCATCTTTTTGACAGTAGGAATTGGGGATTCGATTGAAACAATCTCGCTATGCTGTTAATATCGCGATATATCGGCGATATATCGGATATCGCTCCTAGGAAAAAAATCGGTCAAAATATCGGGGCCGATATTATCGGCGATATTTAGCGATTTTTAGCGATATTTTGAGGTAAAAACCGGACCGATATACCGATTTTATAAGGTTTAAAATTTTGGGCTTTTGTTATTCCATGGGCCTAATTTTTTGTGCTAAATTAGGTCTGAATCTGAAATCAGTGAAGCTTCCTTACTCCACAACGTCTTCTTCTTTCTTGAGTTAATCACGAGTTCACTACTTCAACTTCAGACTTCTTCTCACAACTTCGACTTCTTCTTCTCACGGCTTCGAGTTCACGTTCACGGTCTCTCTTCATGTTCACGGTCTCTCTTCTCACAACGTCTTCTTCTTTTCTCGGTCTCTCTTCTCGATCTCCTCTGCTTACCAGGTTGCTACAGCCACAACAGCAACTGTAATCGACACTTCTCGATCTCTTCTCGATCTCCTCTGCTTACCAGGTTGCTACAGCCACAGCAGCAACTGTAATCGACACTTCTCGATCTCTTCTCGATCTCCTCTGCTTACAAGGTTGCTACAGAGTACAGCCACAACAATAGAGCCAGCGACAGCAACAGAGCCAGCGACATTAACAGCATAGCTGGCAGCAACTGTAATCCAGCCTCCAAGTCTTACTATCACCCACCCACTCACTTGATTATTCTTATTTGTCTTAGTTAGAAGTTAGAAGTTAGAACTAGGAACTTAATTACTAAAAAAAGCAACGGAAAGTAGAGAAGGGGGTCAATCTTCAAGGGCATCTGTGACCCCGATTACTACTACTACTTCATCAGACGCGGGTACAAAATGCGTCAATGGAGATATGGCTTGGGAATGGGGGGTATGGAAAGATCCAACCAAAAAAAATTATGTATGGTGTACTTTAGATGATGTGATGTTTTAATTTTGAAACTATATTTCTAAACTCTAATTAATGCATATTATATATATAATTCTAAGAAATATTATGTTAACGGCTATTTCCGATATATCACCGATATATCCGATATATCACCGATATAACCGATATATCGAATATCGGTTATAATATCCGTGTTCCGTTAACTCGTACAATTGGGTTAAGTGAATTTTTGGTAGAATTATGCATAATATATTTGTACCTTATGCTTAACCAATTTGTACCCTAGACTAGTTTTGCGTCAAAAATGTGTTTATACCTATATTGACGTAAAGTTGGGAATCTAACTTGAAGGGTTAAAACCATTAAATAGTTAAATTATATATATATATATATATATATATATAAAATTAAATAATATATATATATATATATGTTGGCGGTTACACATATATATATAATTAAATAAAAAAAATTAATTATATATATATACATATGCATATGATATGAGAGGCGGTTATCACCGCCATTCTCTCAGCTCAATCTCTCATCTCTTTTCTCTTTCTTCAAAATCTTCATCTTCTCTCTGAAT